CAGCCTAGTGGGGATTCTTTATGACCGTGCGCTGTATAGAATATAGGGAATCACAGTTTGGCCCATCGGTGAGAGCAAATCAACTCCTCCTACAAGGCTGAAAACCAGCCTCCGCTTAGGTGGACATGTGTCAGGTGCATTAGTAAGGTTGGATCCAGCTCAGCCAGGCAGCAGAATAAATCAGCTCCAGTACTACCCTTTGCTCTTCTTCTGTGCTGACAAAAGCGCGCGGAGATTGCCCTCCTGGTGGAAACCAGACACTGACACAGTAACTGCTTCATAAATATTCTTCCAGCCCCTATCATGAGGTCAGAGCTCCGCTGATGATCACACGCATCGATTGGCCAGAAAAAAAGGCATGACTCAGAGTTTGGGCCGCTCCTTATTGGCTGAGTCGACGGGCATTATGCTTGTTGGGGGGGATGATGCCTCCTCGGGGCAGGTAAACACCGTGATGCAGGAGGCCAGGCCAGATCCAGCTAGCCTCTTCTTAGAGGACGGCGGCTTATCAGCCGCTCCACACGTCCCGTTTAGTTTTCATTAGTCTTCAAAGGTTTCTTAGAAGTTCCACCCAGCAGACACCTACGCCCTACTTGAATTTAGCAACTTTATCTCAGAAAAGCCGTCCCCCTCGAGCTGTCACCTCACCCCCTCCTGGTGCAGCAGATGGGATTACCCCCGCAAAGCGGGCGGATCCAGTCAACTCGCAGCGCATCCTCTGATTAACGCTCCTCTAGTTCATCATTAACTGGATTACTCCGTCTTTATGCAGCTTTCCCCCTCTCACCCTATTCGTCTATCCGTCATTCTGTCTATACTCTCCCAATCAAACTTCACTTTATATGTTTGGCATGCGGCCCTTGTGTATCTAATTAGCAAAAATATATTTGATCTGAGCATTTATCAACTTAAATTAACTATTGGCTGGCATCCCTTTACCAAATGTCACTATTTTGAGCTGTCTGTGGGTGTCTTACGGCCACAGGTGCGTCCGCAAACTCTGTATTTTAATTACTGTAATTCACTTGTTCATTTTCATCTTGACTTTAGATGTTCAGCAACGCCAGGTTCCAAAAAGAATTATTGGGTTTTAAAGTTTGTTTTTTCTTTACTCTGCTTTTTCAGACAGTATGGTGAGAGTTCTGAGGAGTAAGTAAAGAAATGGTTCTTCGTTCTCTGGCCACAGGCAGTTGGTTAAAACTATTTTAGCAAAAGTATCTTTTTAAATGGAATGAGCCAGAGGCACGAGCCTGTTTCTGAACTTCAAAAATGACTAAGAAGTGGATGTATCACCAACTGTGTCTGCGCGTCTCCACATTCATTAGTGTTCTAAGAATACACTCAGCACATGCCACAAGAAACTCTCCACACACACACCCAGATTATTTCACAGATTCTTAGGTGAGAAAAAACCTGCGGGCTACCTCCAGGAATCAATGTGTTAACAGAGGTACTTTCCTCTTCTCTCTTGCCTGGCAGGTGTTGTTGGGATATTTTCAACAGAAACAGAAAGTCAGGAGGAACCCAACCTGCTACTGTTTTCACCGTCATGAAATAGTGGCCGCACAAAGGTTGTGTCTAAATTAGCTTGTTAATAAGCCGTGCGTCAGAGTCCAAAGAATATGCAGTTGAACACCTAGACATTCAAGGAAACACCGGGTGAGCTTTAAGACAACCACTTTATCTGATTGCCTGACCCAGAATTGCCACTCAGCGGAGGTAATTTGAACTTTATGGAGAGTGCGGACCAATACCACTGTCCATGGCGAGTATTTGGGTTAGGACGGATAATCCACTCACCCCTAAAGAGGATTGGCGAATCTCACAGGGCTTTGCTGAGTTGTGAGCCGGTATTTATATCACATCACAAGTACAGGAATGTTTGTGTCGCGGCCAGCGTGTTTTTCGGCGCGACCCACCAAGTGCACGAAAGCATTATGGATGATTGTTATTGTACAGAAGAGAGTGGCGGAGAAGGGAGGAGGAGGTGGGGAGAAATTGAGCTGGGGAGAGGGCGGGTGTATCTGCGCTCCTTATCACACCACAGATCCTTGGCTTTAGAGAGATGATGTGATAACTGAGGCTCGCTGAGACGAGGCTACAGCAGTGCTAATGAGCCCCCTCTAAGCTCAGTGATCATCCTATGAAAAAAAGGAGCATTAGAATAGCTTTGGCTAAGCACTCAAAGTTTCTTCATTATATCCAAAAGGATATTTGTCCATAGGAGAAAAAAAAAACTGGCGGCACAAAGGAGATGCCTGTGTCTTTACCTTTCTGGTGTGCAGACTTAACTAGCTCGCTCACCTTGTTTTCAGGATTTAGGACGACTGCGATCAGAAAGACGGGGGCTTTCTGTCGTGTTTTCCAACCATTAATCCCTCAAAACAGCGTCGACATAAAACGTTCAGCTTCAGATACTTCAAGTCTAAGCAGCTCACGTAGACCTATAGCCTTAAGGCAACACAAACACAATCCCCCAGAGGAAGGTTTTACTAAATGGGAGACAAAGGGTTTAATACAATGTTGACAATACTCACAGGTTTCTCTTTCTGATAAACTCTGTGTGTCTATAGTATCAATGCTACTTAAACAGAACAAAAGTATAGCTTGTATGGTTTGCATGAACATTTTGAATATGAACGTTTTGGTTACAGTATAAAGCTTAATGAACCCTACTGTCATGCCGTTTGTTCTTAACCACAGCCGGTGGTTTTCCATTTTCCACCGCCTTTGCTGAAATAGGGGGAATGCTGTCTAAAAGTTTTCAGTTCCATATAGTCAGCATGACTGCTATTTTCTTAAACGTGTGTCTGCGTGTGTCGTAAAGAGAGGAAGTGTTACAGGAACTGCACACCAAACAGCATGGCTTCCAGAGGCTTCACTAAAATGAATTAAAAATGTAGATGAAGATGTTAACTGCAACTTGGATGAATCTACGATAAGTGGGACACTTGCCAGGATTGGCCATTTGTATTCAACGCTGTTGGAATAACTGCAGTTGAAAATAAAAGGGAAACATCTTTCTATCATCTAGTATTGTGCATGGATAGGGAAAGATTAGGAAGTCATGACTCACGAGTTGGCAACACCTCAGAACCCTGTTTAATCTCTTTATGCCAGTCAGTTAAAAAGTCTCCAAGTACTTTGTCTTTTTGTTGGTCAAAATGTCTTTTTTTCCATTCATTTTACATGAGTTGATAGTCGATGAAAAGTCCTCAGCTATCTTGCATTTAAGAAGTAACTTTCACTTATCTTGTCAGTGCGTGGGTTTTCCCCTGTTAAGGAAAATATGTCAAACAAGGCCAAAGGAGAAGGGGAGCAGAAGGGAGGTGAATCCCAATCCATCAGCAGCCCTCCCTGCACAAAAAGGATGTGCTTCTGGTATCTGCGTCCAACTTTAATTCTTTTAATTGACGGTGAGCGACACGAGGAAAAAGCTTCTGTTCTCTCCTCCGCCGCTGATTGAAATATCGCTCCGTGCAACCACCTCACTAAGTTAAGTGGCATGTTGTAGTACGGACATGCTTGGTGGCGTTTAATTTACTTACTGAATGAACATGAATAACTCACAGTGCCCACACGCAGATGTACACACACACGCTGTGTATCGCGGCGTCTGAGTGAGTGGGATCAATAGGCACTTCAGTTTTCCGTAACCTATCTGCCAGGGAGTGCCCCACGCACCGCTACAAGTGAGATGTAGAACCGTCTCCTGGATGAGATGATTTTCCTTTTGAGATGTGGACACAGTGCACGACCCGTTTCGACAGCTCCGTAATTGAGACAAAATACCACTTTGGGGGGGGGGGTGGGGTGCGGTGGCCTAAGGGGGTAATGGCAAGCCTCAGACTCGGCCGGCTCACCAGCTTGTAATCTTGTTCCTTTTGTGTCACCACAATGGTTTGTGCGATTTTACCTCATTTTTTACTTCAGATCTCTTGTTTTTTTTTTGTCTGATATTACAAAGCGCGACAAGAGGGGAGAATAGAAGCGGCTTCTCCTGTGTTTTTCTGAGCTACTGTTGAAGCCAAAGCTGGGTAGGATCCAGCTCATTAAAACCCAGTTAATGTTTGGGCTGATGGGTCCTCAGAGACAACAAGGGAGACAAGCCAGAGTTATTCCTGACTCTGATGACGCCTTTATGGCTCACAGATGGAGGAAAATTCTCCAACAATGCAATACTCCACGCTGTAGGGACGTCTTTGATTCCCGCACACGCACTCCCAGTTTAATATTGTTGGTGTGAAAAGGCTTTTACAGCTTGTAACGTAATATGTGCGTGCCTTTTTGTACGGAGGAAATGTGCTGCGGTGGTGCTCTCGTTGACAGCCAGAAGACATCTGGAACTTAGGAATTAGACTTGTTTTTGAGAAAAGCAACAATCAAATGATCGCTGTTTTATATTAGGAAATTGTGTCAGCTCCCCACCCTCTCCTCAACTGTGTGTGTTTTTGTGTTTTTGTTTTTTTGCATTTGTATCCCATCATCTGTCAGTGATGCCACAAAGACTTCCCTGCATGCATGGTTACAGAAGCTGCCATCAGGATGGTGTGCACGGAACTAAATCCGATACAACTCTCGACTTTCCGAGATGAAAAATGATTTTCATGGTAGATCCTCAGAGGGGACCATGCGCATTCGAAACGTGTTTGGCGGATAATGTATCGTGTCAAACCCTCCGTGTCAAAGTCTTTGTGGTATCTTCGAAGGCTTTAGTCCGAGTGCTAAGGTCAGATAAGCGGTCTCTGTGTGAGACCGGACCACACGAGACACTAAAGCCTGGAAGAGATACTCAATTCAGCTCACATCAGTGGTGAGAATCTGACCTTTCCGATAAATGTTAACATCATTCTGTTTACTCACGCCGCGACACAACCAACATTTGGCTCATTATTTGAGCTTGCTGTGTAACGCATCATCGGTCTCACCGTGCATGCGCCCGGCGGTGTGTGTGGGGGTTTTCAACCTTTTTTTGTTTGTCCAACCTTTGTTGTTCGCAGGTGCAAAGGGGCCTCTCACTATGGGCTCTCGGCGGAGAGGAAGCGGCGCTCGCAGGAGGGCGAGTGCACCGACAGCACGTCGGAGCTCACCATCGCCACGCTGCCCGGCGACGGCCCCGCCTCCGCCGCCGTGGCCCTGCTGACCGACGAGCCGGGCCTGGTCAACCCGGCCTTCGACGCCAGCATGGAGGACAACAGCCAGTCGGGCAGCATGACCAGCCTGGCGGCTCGCAGCAGCAGCAAGAAGAGTGAGTGTGAGTGGTGGAACGTGTCTGGTCAATCAAGAGTTCGGACAGAGGACTGAAAGTCAACGGCGATCACCTGTCAAAAGAGGATTCCCGTGGTATACATTCAAACATGCCTGCGCTCTACTGTTAACCCGATTCTTTAGTTGGAAACCTGAGAATAAACCAGAGTCGATCAAGAGTAAAAATTTGACATTTATCGGGTCACAGGTAAAGTATTTCAGCTCTGGGCTCTTCACAGACGAAGACCTCTCTCTCAGGGTCTCAGTCGGCAAAGAGCCCTGAGATCTGGGGGTGATGGGTCTTTGTCTCCTGGGCTGGGCACACCCCTCAAAAGGAGGACTGGACACAACCAAGTCCTATTGGTTAGTTACCTCTAAGACTAACAAGCCGAGTTCTAATTCATGTTGATGACATTGGAATGTGGTACCAAATGGTGTGTGTATGTGTTGACTTAAAGACGTGGATCTAATGCAACAGAGAAAGAGGATAGAAAGAAAAAGAAAGAACAAAGAGAGTCTGTGGTTACAGCCAGAGACTTCAACACAAAATATAGTTATAAAAGAAAAGAAAACAATCAGTAATATGCATAGATCATGTGATAGCAAACAATGCTAAAGTGAATATTTTTAGCCAAATCCTAACACTACCCAGGCATGGTCCCAACCTCAAATACAGTCTTTGCTCAGCTTAATGGTCTCTGATAGAAATCCTATTAACAAATTAGCTGCACTTCTCTTTTTTTCTCCGCCAATCCATAAAATCTCCCTTTGTGGGGGAAACGGTAGAGAAACAGAGAGAGGGAAAGTCACAAAGAGGGCAGACTCAGAGCAGACAAGGACAGCTGAAAATGAGAGCCCAGTTAAGCGGGGCTGCTGCAAAATTTGGAACAGCGCTCCCTCTGCTTCTTCTTCTTCTTCCACCTGTAAAAACCAGGAAGCAGTCACGAGTGCTCCACTTTTTTTTGCCCAGCCAAGTGAACGGTCGGGATACCGAAATGAAAGCTGCACAAGCACTTTCTGCTCGGCCAACTGAGCACCCGGCAGCACCACCACCAGCGCCACTACTGCTGAACAAGCTGTCAGCCCCAGCAGCCGCCGGCGCTTTTTAAAGAATAATGTGGCTGTCAGGAGCCTTCGCATCTCTCTGGCCCGCGGGGGGTGGGGGGGTGGGGGGGTTAGTGCTGCTGCAGAGGCTGCTGCTTGCCCCTCGGCTTGGGGCCGCCAGGCTGTGGCTGCAACCTCTTAGAGTCCCAAAAGGAAACGCATCAGGGACGAGTTGCTCTCCGGACAGGTCCGGTTTTGGATGTGTCCACCGTGTCTTACATCACCAGCCGCAGTGGCGTAATCCTGTTACTATACTCGGCGCTGAGATTGGGTTTATTAATTGAACAGCCACCTGTTCACAGCATCTCACACACCGATGGGAAAGCCGCTTTATTTGAGCTTCGTTAAAAGTTTCTCGGCAAACATAGCTTGGAGAGGCTGCTGGACGGGAAATAAACCGTCCTCTTATGTCTTCTCGATTCCAGCAAGTATTCATCAGGCAAAGAAAGCTAAAATCATATCAGCGTTTGCCTATCTGTTTAGCCCACTCCACTATCGGGACACATGTTTCATTCCTAGTGTTTCCCACAGGTATCATCACAAAAAAAAAAGGAAAACATTTTCAGGCGCCTATAAAGATTGTTGGCATACTTTGTCATTCATGAGCTTTAGGCATACAATTTTAAAAGCTGTCTCTATCTGAAAAATGGGTAATGACACAATATGAATCTTTTTTAACGTCCCAAACTGGGTTTCCAACACTGAAGTATTTCAGCTATTTTTGAGGGGTGGGGGTAAATATTTGATGTGGAAACACAGGTCTGTGCAGACTATGCCTGGGATTGGCTGTGAAGAGCCAGACCCAGACATGCCTGGGCATGTTGCGAGTGAGCTCATTTATAAAAACGCCTGTCTTCCTCCTTTCATTTGCAGTCAGAAACTTTGACCGGTCTTCAGTGAGGAGCCGCTCCTTCAGGAGGTTGAACCGGGCTTTCAGTGTCTTGCGGAGGACCAAGAGTGGCACTGCGGTCAGCAATGAAACGTCCGAGGAGAGGGACAATGCCAGGAATTCCAGTGTGCCACAGGAAGGTATGGAACAGAGGTTTTTGCATCAATCTCTCTGACTGTATCAGGTCCCTGAGGAGGCTCTCTGAGACAGTTCGACACATACGCGTATTTTTGCAATGTTCCCTTTGGATGGGCAAGGAAGCTAAATGTGGTTCGGGGCCCTCTGTGTATCAACAGCATATGTTTCTTTAATGATTCAGCTGTAGATTGCAGATTGCATAACTCCGCTGGCGCATCACAACAGACAGATCAGGAGGGAAAGTGGCAGCCTGAGGCACTTTGGATAGTGAAGGGATACCAGAGGTCGCCTGAGATGAGGCCCGATGACGTCCCCCCCGTCCTCCTCGCCTCTTTTATCTAACTCCTGTCCACTCAGTCTTCCCCCTCTTCATCTACATGTATGCCTGTAGCTATTCATCTTTATCTATTCACCTTCAGGCTTTTCATCAGCCTGATGAAGCAATTCAAAGGGTGAGGTCTATATTCCAGACATGAAGCTTCGCAAGTCGTTGAATCGTGAAGAAAATGATATTTTAAATGTCATCATCGCAAGTTTCCAAGGACAAAGTGGAGAAAGTAGAGTTATCCTGCTAGAAAATTATAAAAAGATACTTTTAAATGGACGCCATCACTGCGAGTCGGGCAACTGCGTTAAGGAAGAGCTGCGTTTCATGACAGAGTCGACGCTATCATGGTAGGAGATGATGTCCGGCTCTAGCTGCCATGAGTTAGAAAAGGTGAGGGAACTTGGTATTGCGTAAGAGTGGAGGATGACTAACGATTGGGGAGTAGATTATTCTCAGAGGCCATCACTGAGGAAGGCTAAAAGAAACATCAAATATTCATTGGCTGCCACTAGAGAGACAAAGATAGACAGGAAGAGTGGTAAAGTGCAGAAAGAGGACATTGAGGCAGATTTTTATTTTTTATTAAAGATGTAAAATAAAGATGCTTATCTGATATTTAAACACACAGACCGTCTGGAGAGGTGAGAAATAAAACCTAAAGGAATGATAGTATGAAGTTAAGAAGATAGAAAGGGTGAGCAATGGCGTGAAAGAAGGGTTACGTAAGAGCTGCAGGTTTCTGTTGGTGTGCTCTCCACCCTTTACCCGCAGCAATCTGCTGCAATGAAGACAAAATATTGACTTTGAAATGGAAGAGGTGCTGCGCTGACGTGAAGCAGCTGAGAAACGCATAAGGGGATGGCCAGATGAGATGGAGACAGGGAAGGGGGATAAAACGAGAAGTGTATTCTAAGTGTATGGGTAAAGCTGTGTGCCTAATCAGCCACAGAAATGTCTCCACCCTTTGCAAGAAGGACAAGTTCAGGATCATTGTGGAAAAGTCACCACTGTATGTGAAAGGAGCTTGCAGTGCAAAGTGATTAAACTTGAATAAAAGGATATTTTTCCCATTAAATTCCCATTATATGTTTATAGGTATTGGTATAAACCCGTGTGTTACTCAGGTTGAATGCATTCAGAAGAACGAAGGCCATCATTTGTGCGGACATTTTGAAACCATGCTTTTGGGACGTTCAACGAGTCCCTTTTATAGATTTCTTATAGATTTATTTTGCTGTCAAGAGAAACTAAGACATCATCATTTTGACCGAACATAACAGTGGTTGGACTAAACGTGCGCATTGAGATATTTCAAGCATCTCCACCCAAGTCATTACTGGGTGGAAATTTGGAAAAGGAGGGTCTTCCCAAGCCTATTTCCTACAGATGTACTGTATGTGACTAATGATACAAACATTGAGCAGGATTAATCAGCCAAGGAAATTTTCCCGCTTGGCTCGTTGGCGTTTGTTTTAGTAACCTGAGGGAGTAGAGACAGCTGGTTCCACTGCTGTGCTCCTCCACCGCGGCCTACAACTCTTTCTCCCTTGATGCGATTCTTTCCCCACTTCCTTTTCTGTTTTATCTGGCTGTTTCTCAAATAGGCTTTTTCTTGCCCTGGAGCAGTCGAACTAAAGTCAGCCTTTATTTTTTCCCCTTCTCCCCATCCTCTCTCTCTCTCTCTCTCAGTGCTGGCTCTTCCTCAGCTGCATCACCTGATCCCTGATGGTGAAGTAACCAGTATTAAAATCACGCGGGTGGATCCCTCGGATCCGCTGGCCATCAGCATTGTCGGCGGAAACGAGACTCCTCTGGTCCGTATCCTCATTCAGGATATCTACAGGGAGGGCATTATTGCTCGGGATGGCCGCTTGCTACCTGGGGATATGATCCTGAAGGTAAAAAAAAAAAAAAGAGATATGGTTCAGGAAACGCAAAGAAAAAGCCCAAGTTTGAAATCCGTTTGAGCGACGTTTGTATTTTTTTCCCGGTAGGTGAATGGCATCGACATCAGCAACGTCCCTCACTGCTTTGCGGTGGCCACCCTGAAGCAGCCCTGCCAGCTGCTCAGACTGACCGTCCTCAGGGAGCAGCGCCACCGCTACCGCTCGCACGGGCACCCGCACGGCCACGTGCACGGCCACGACGCGGCCGGGGCCCACCAGCCGCACGGCCAGCCCCACCAGCCCCTGAGGGACGACAGCGTCCACGTGGTGCTGAACAAGAGCGCTCCGGACGAACAGCTGGGCATCAAGTTGGTGCGCCGGCCCGAGGAGCACGGCGTCTACATCTTCCATCTGCTGGAGGGGGGCCTGGCCGCCCGGGACGGACAGCTGTGCGTGGGCGACCGCGTGCTGGCCATCAACGGGCACGACCTTCGTTACGGAGCCCCCGAGCACGCCGCCCTGCTCATCCAGGTCAGTCAGGCCTCAAGACCCAGTATCATACAGGAAGAAAACATTTCTGACCAGTTGGACCGAATGCTGTGACCGAAAACACAAACAACTGAGCTCTGCTCTTGCTCTCTGTCCCCGAGGTATTAAAGATAATTGTGGGTGATTCAGGGCTAATCGTGTTGTGTTGTGTTGTGCTGTTGTGTCTGCACTCGCTGCAGTTAATGGTACTTAATTGTGGCGACTCCCTGATGGACAGGGCCGCGCGGCCGCCTCTGGTTCCCGGTTGATGCCAGTCATTGATGGTGGTTAATTGCCATGTGTTTGCGGGTGACTGTGCAGTGGTCTCCGGGTCTCCGGGTTCCGGTCTGGCTAGTCTGACTGGCCATTCCGGGGTCTCTGCGGAGCCCGAGCGGCCTCTCAGAGCGTCCACTTTTCTGCGGGAGATTAAGAACTGCCAGGGAAGAAATTAAATTAGTCCAATTAAGGCAATAATGGGCTGCCCTGGCTCAGCGCTGTGGCAGACAGACCAGCAGAACTCTCACAGGACCGAAAGTGGGGAGAGGGAAGCAGCCGTCCAATCCGTGTGGCCGAGACCACATGCACTTAAATGAGTAGGAGTGTGAATCACAGACAGACGAGAATCGTGGTCTTTTTTGAAAAGTGGTCTTATTTTCAAATTTCCTATGACTCATGCCCTCATCTTTCTGCCATTCCCGCACTCATGTCACAATTTGTCTGTCGACTGCTGCTTCCTTTAGGCCAGCGAGCAGTGCGTCCACTTCATAGTGTCTCGTCAGATCTGCCTGCCAACCCCAGACATACTCCAAGAAGCTCCGTGGGGCATGGATGGTCCCCCACCCTATTCCCCGGTGGATTTAGAGCAAACACTGCTGGTGAGTCCTCCACACGGATGCACAAGAGACATGAACAGAATACACACACACAGAGAGCAGCTTTGTTCCTCTTTCTCCCTTCCCGTGATAAATATTCCCTTTCAGGTGCAAATGATCCATGGAGGTATTATGCTCCGCTCAGAGCCGAGCATGTCATTCAAGAAATGCAGCATGAGAGCACTCTCCGCTCGCAGAATTGTTACATTCATATCAGCCATCTTTTATCACCCTACTGAAATCATTTCCACACCCAATTGGATTTAATTTCCTTCCACTACCTAAGCCAAATTTTCCCTACTGCCAAAAGTTGTAAGATATATAATAATTGAATCAACATGGCATATCGATTTTAAAACTGAGACATGAACAGATTAAATGACCCCTTTGTGAATTGTAAATATTTGTTATAAAAATCTAAGGTACACTATGCCAAATCTAGAAAAAAAAGTCCAGTCATGTTGGAGATTAAACCACACTATAGACCATGAGCAGGACCTCAACGGAAACATTGCATTGTCATTGAGCATAAAATGATCTATCGTCGAGATTTACCAAAAATGTAGCTCAAAAAATATCCACCCTGTATTTTCATGTTGCAGACAAACGACAGATATGAAACAAATGTGCAGTCCAATCAGTGGCCGCTGATTAAAATCCATGATTTGTGAGGCTTACTGTGAAGTCACAGTATCTGGCTTAACATCTGACCTGCTTGATATCTTTTGAGGAGTTAGTGTGGCCAGTGAAATCCAAAGATTCACTTAGATGTTGGATAGAATGCCCACGCCTGGTGTTTCTGGTGTGTAGTATGACAGCCACAAGAAAACACGGGCCATAGAGGGAACCCAAGACCTCTTCAACGAGGGATTTAAGATTTAATTATCGGGAGCTGTTTGTGTTTAGGGTAGTGTAATGTTGATGGCTGGAAAGAAACTGGAGGATAAGGATCGGTCAGGCCATGTCAGCATCAATCCGGTTAAAGACATTAAAGTGTGTTATTCACTGTTACAGATCAGTCACGTAGAGTCAAAACATGAGGAATTCAAGACCACACCGTGTAGAATGAACAACCCAGAGATCCACTTATATGTGATGTATTGCAGTTTGAATTTGGCTTCAGTCAGGGACACATATCTTCAGCCCTGCTAGCATAAATGATTCCCCCCTATTGGGGCCTCCAGTCTCGGGCATTGTGAGACTCACGCAATATTTTTCCCTTTCACACACTCTCGCGTCAAACGTATTGGTTTTCACGCTCACAAATTCACAACAGATGATGTTGCCATGTAAGCGGAGACCAACAGCACGGGTGTTGCTAACTAGACAGTTTTTGTGAACAAATTCAGCCCCCTGAATCGGATTCCTGTATTGTGTAGACACTTTAGGACAAGCATCCCCAGTGTTGCTCTTCAAACACTCTTTTTTTTTTTGCCTTTTCCACAGAACAGCAAAAAAAGAATTCTGTTAACTTGCAACTGTTCCTCCCTAATAGTTCCCAAATGTTCCAGATCGATTTGCATGCGCACACACCCTCACCCCTCCTCCGCTTTCAAAGCTCATGCCTCTGCTTCTTCAGTGTAAATACGACTCTAAAGCTAACAAACTGTTAGCATAAGCTTAGACCTCTAAGAAGATCATTCCTCTCTGTCAGAGGGTTGATGGAACTCGAAAAGCTTCATGAATAACATATACGTTGATTTAAAAGCCACCCTATGGGAGTGTGGCAGGAGAATAAAGGAGGCATGACTCACACACGGTTTTGGATGTGGGCAGGCACAAAAGCGTTGGCATGGCTGGGGCGAGTTGCTGCGCCCTCGGGTCAGTAAGCGATCCTTTGTGAGGCCGGCAGAAAAAGTGTGAATGCCACACATTACCGAAGCAGCACGAGCTCCATCCCGTCGACCTTAATGTGTCCATGTGCTATTCATCACGACACGGCTCTCCTCCATCTGACTCACAAATATGCCCGCCATAAATAAAGCCTCGCTCGCTTCATCCCACACACTGTCACTCGTCGCATTAAACGGCTCATCAAGACATCTATGAATGTATCGTTTTCTCCATAGCGAACCCAAAAAAAAAAGGCACTTTGGCGGCCCAACGCCCTATAGGCTACGTCTTATCAGCCCTATATGATACCTACCTGTTATGCTAATGGGGTAATTCATCAATTAGTTATCAGCAATGATTGCGTTATTGTAGCCTCGCTCCCACAGCAGAGCAGGGGTGGCCCCGCATGTGACTTCTAGCGTTATCGCAAAACACTCATTATTATTATGCAAATGTGATCCTCTAAAATTTAATTAGACCACGTGGTCCATAGAAGGTGCCCTTGGTATGAATCTGTAGCGTTTTTTTTGTTATTTTGCTCATAAGAATGCGGATACACAAGGAGGAACTCAATATGTCAGAGTGACAATGTGTGTTTAGCTCCCTCTTAACCGTTCTCATTATCGGCCTTCTGTCTCCTGTACAGGACTCTTGTCAGAAGCCCGCTTGCTATGAGAAGACAGTTACTCTAACCAAGGAGCCGTACGACTCTCTGGGCATGACCGTGGCAGGCGGTATGTCCAGCCGAGGGTGGGACCTCCCCATCTACGTCACGAATGTGGACCCTGACGGGGTGGTGGGACAGGAGGGATCCATCCGCAAAGGTAAAACCAGTATCTGATCATGTAATCATCAAAATGTTACTGAAAATGTTTACAGAGAGGGGGACTTTGTTGTGTATAGATGAAAACATTCATTTCTAAAGTTTTTACTACAGTAATGACAGATATTAGCTTATATTGTATGGACACGGCCATGTTTACTACTGTGCAGCATCCTGCCTCTAACGGCATGTAAACATTTAGAAACTGGTGACGTTCACGGGAAACTTTAGCAGTGGAGCGTAATCCTTTTTAAAACATACTGGAAAGTGTTTTGTATACAAAGTACATGTACACGTGTAAACCGTCAAACCTGATGGTGCTTGTTTAGATGCGCGAGGTCTCAGTTACACGATCCCACGAAGAATTTCAGGTCTCTGTCTGACCATAGTGCAGGTTTACAGGTCTGCTTTACGTCGGTCCATTTTAATCAGCTTTAAATGCAAAAATAGTAGGATCCCTGGATCGTGTTCTCACGTGGATTCTTCTTACTAAGATAAAACGCCAACTTGTCTTGTGAAAGATTTTGTGAACCGTCTTGATTTCTGCAATCAGATTTCCAATTTTTTTTTTGGTCTTTTTGTGAGATCATAAAATGTCTCATTAGAACGATCTTCCACTCTGATTCAAATACTGAGATGCATGAATTCGGTTTCTATTTTTACGCAATTTGTATTATAAGAAGTGTAATGTTCACTGTCTTTGTACGAAGAAATGACCAACCCGAGTTAATTTTGTCTGGCTTCTACCTTGCCATTCAGCAGGAAATTCTGCTTAACGGGCTGATGTCGATGAACACAGACAAGATGCTTTAGCGAAACCTGACACGCGTGAAAGTTATTCACTCCCTCAGGAGACAACAAGCGCCGATGTGATCCAGCACTCGGAAGACTTGTTTGCACATGCTCGAAATAAAAACACACGCGCACGCAAACACACACAAACAAGGTGTGGGCGTCGCCAGAAAAACACTGGAAGTAAATTAAGCAGCCTCGAGATCATAAAATGCAGCTTAAGGACAAAGAGTGGGAGATTTTCACCCCAGTCTTCTCTTGATTCCAGCGATCCATCTTAAGACATAACCATATTAAGCCCCTCATTACACTGAGCCCCCCCTCAATTCCCCATCTAAGGATTTGTTTATGAGCGGGGTGAGATAAACGTTTTGGTACGGCATTACAAAAATATGAAGACTTTGTAAAATTCAATTGAGTTTGTCGTCTTGTGTGCGTGCGGTACAGGGTGCGCATTACTGTATTCATAAGAGACACGGCAGCAGCAGCTGTCTCTGTTTGTGCGCTGGCGAAACCCGATTGTGGATTGTAATGGCGCATTAATTTGCATTTGCATATCCTCTCAGGGCAAACGTGTCCTTTCGGTTGCTTACAAGCTAGGCGGACTCGCGCCGCTTTCATCGTTGGGAGGCTTTTTAAAGCACAGGTGGCGCTTGCTTTCCGTCCCTTTGTGTCCAATGCTGGGAGACTTGATGAATATGAGGCGGGCAGGCCACGAGTCCCAGTCCTGTGATGTCTTTTTGAAATCAGACAACCCTGGCGGAGGTTGGCTGAGCCCGCTTCTCTCCCCCCTGCAGGCGACATTCTGCTGAACGTGAACGGGGTGGACCTGACGGGGGTGACCCGGGGCGAGGCGGTGGCCAACCTGAAGAACACCTCCTCTCCCGTGGTGCTCAAGGTCTTGGAGATGCGTCCTCCCGAGGAGAGCCTTCAGGAGTACCCGCTGCCCCCTTGTCTCACGCCGTCCCCCACAGACAGCATCAAGAGCCCCCTGCCCAACGATGACTACTCCCCCCTGTGGGTGTCGTGGCTGCAGCTACCCAGGTCAGCCCCCACTGGCACCTTCACGTAGAGTTTTAGACATTTTCTGAGCCCTGTTCATGCAGTAACACCTGCCCCCTGGAGAAAAACTTTTGAAAAACTCATCGTACTTTTTTTAGATATTGTCCACACTTTGAACAGAACTTCAGGGAGTGAAAATCTTATCTTTCTTTCTCACACTGTGGCCTATAAATCCATCAGGATAACAGCGGCGCAGTGACACCGTATGAATAATCGTTGCAGCCGCCCCGTGGAAAATAAGTGGAAAAATTCAAATGCGCTTCCGTTACAGCATCGAATGCATAATGGGTTGAAGCCGAGTACCGAGTTAGCATGCGTTTGTAGCTTACACTTGAAAGATGGAAGTACGGTGGTGTTCATCCGGCCCTAAGCTACTGTAATGAGGGAGCTGCTTCAGCAGGAGAGCCGCTGCGTGTGACAGGAGTATAGACGTGTCGTGTGTAGACTTTTTTAAACTTTAAGATGTAAGGGGGAAGATTAGTGTTTAATCTCCGTCTTGGCTTGTGCAGACATCTTTACTACTGCAAAGACATCGTCTTGCGGCGGAGCACCTCGGGCAGCCTGGGCTTCAGCATCGTGGGGGGTCAGGAGGAGATCAACTGCAATCAATCCTTTTTTATCCGCTCGATCGTGGAGGGGACGCCAGCCTACAACGACGGTAGAATAAGGTACTCACAATGTGTTTCCTGCGTCCGGGGGAAGCTGAAGTGGGCCCGAAGTTGATCCCAGGTTGACTCTCTCTTTCCTTCTCCGTCTAGATGTGGGGACATTCTGCTGGAGGTGAACGGGAAGAGCACATGGGGGATGACACACACAGCGCTGGTTCGCCTCCTGAAGGAGCTCCGGGGCAGGATCACCCTGACCATCGTCTCGTGGCCGGGGAGTCTGCTGTAGCGGCGTTCCGTGCCCGGAGGAGAGCGGGAGGCAGAGCTTTAGAATGACTGACCACCCTAAGCTCGCTGGCGTGGAAGAGACTTAGAATAGTGCCGTAGCCGTTTGGGATGCCACACTTCTGAAGGACAGCTGAGACTTTGCCAGGAGTTTGAAAAGGGACAGACACACAGGACTGGACTGTTACCAGAAGGTTGACTTGTCCCTCCTGGAATGCTGATCGGGGAGGATCCAGGCCGGAGCCATTTCTAAATAGGATGTTGGGCGTTATCTGTTTAGAGGACATTGTTATGGTCTAGAACAGCATCCAGTGAGCGTGTAAAGGGGGGGGGGGATCAAGAGGAGACACAACATGTTGCCAATTCCGGTAGATAAATAGTAGGATATGCGTTAAGCAGGACTCACATTTCTTTTTTCGTAAATGTTGGGTGTCTAAAAAAAAAAGTACAATCCAAGCACTTGTAATATGTTTATTTTGTTTGTTGTTTGGCCTTTAAATGTAGGCTTTATTTTGTTTGTACTGACAGTGGTTGTCATCTTCATCTGTTGACCTGAAGACACGTTGCCAAGTAGTAGTCTGTGAGGTTTCTTTCTGTTGTCTCAGAAGCTATGGCTAAATGATTAAAAACCACTGGCAAGGAAAACCTATGAAAAAAATAAAGAATCAATGTGTTCAAAATTTGTTTAAGAGTAACATTTTATTAGGTGACATTGTGGAGGCCTTACTAATTTTCTTACTTTTAAGAGAAAACAAACTGACTTGGTTTCTGTGTACCGGGGGACGGCCTGAGGCCGGTCCACCACGGTTCTATCTGTCACGCTTTGGCCTGTGTAGTATCTGATGGTACATTTGGTTAAATGATCAATAAAGCTGTTTGAAAATGAGTTCGCCACACGAAATTCTGGTTAAAAGCACAGTACACATGGAACTAATCAAAGTGCAGCACATGCATTGGGCCGATAGCAGGAAATTGTCTATAGGTTTTCCAAAGAAATTAAACTCGAACTGTTAAGCTATGTCAACAAAAAATTCATTTTCTTACGAAAGATACAGTGTGATGCCTTAGGGTAATTCTTCTCTTTAAATTGTTGGGGGGATCTAAGGTCAGTAAGATTTTAATATCCTTTCTTGGTCAGTGGAGATCATGCGGCTGCTCTCTCTGGCCTCCCTGTTTCTCCTGCCCTTTATGTGTGCCTCCTCTGTCTCTGTCCTCACACTCTTTCTTCTTACTGCCGCTGCTGGAAACATAAATGAAAAGCAATAGCATTGATAATATAAAAAAATATGTTTTTATTTCTCCTGAAGTGTGTAAGCGTGTCTCCGCCAGACCTCTGAGATGTCTTTTGCCGTCCCTCACATTTGCCTGTCTCCCTTTTTTCTCCGCTAGGATGTTTGCGTTCAAGTTTCGAATACCTCTTGCACTTCTTTTGCTCCTCCTCTCTGAAAAATGTCACAAGCATTAGGGTATTTGCATTTGCTAAACATGTGTGATTATTATTTTTGTTTTGTTTGTTTATTAGGTTTTTTTTTAATTCCTGGAGTAAACTATCCCAGGTAAAAAGTTACGGGTCTTTCTCTGTCTTACATTATCCCCCGGGAGACAGATAAGTAAGAGCCCAAAGGACCAAAATCCTAACCCCATGCCTGCTGTTTGCCTATCTTCGTTTTTGTAACCTCCCCATGACCTAGACTTTATCAAGGAGCTTGACACGCGCGTCATAGATTGCCCTTTACATCACAGCCGAGCAGCCACGCTGCATTAACCTCTTTGGTACAGAAAAAAAATCTATTATTCACTCTAGAATGAGTAGTCCTGTGGGACCCGAGGACTTCAGCGCCATCATGTCACACTTTTTCCTTCCTCCTCTGACTCTGACCTCTATAAATCCTCATGCAAAAACATATTCATGCTAAGGGGAAGGGTGACAGCGAAGATATATTGGCTGGAGAGAACACCTGCAATAAAGAATGCTTCCAATGTCAAAAAGACATGTTCCGTTGGATTTACTACTCTACTTCAGAAAAATTGAAATTTCCACAAACATGGCGTCTTGTCAGTGACATTTTGCTGAGGGTCGAGCAAATAATCGAAAGACTGTTCAATAATTGATAAAAGCGTCCTCTTTCTTTCACAACAGAAGCACCACTTCTGCTGGGAAACAATATCTTTCTCACTGGAAGCTCCCATGAGTTGAAACACGTCAGATCAGTGTGTTGGGAGTGATTCAGCGCCATTGTCTAAACTGAACAAACTTTTAATCTAACGAAAGCCACTCGCAATGGGAAAATAATGGCTGTAATGAGTTTAGCAGAAATTGTGTGTGATATGTATGCGGCCGTTGTCAAACAGAGCACAAAGCCACAGCATGCAAACGCGCCCAAATGAGTTCTCCGACTCCTTCTTCTACACAAAAAATATGCCTCCCTTTTTAAGAGGGATGACAATACCCCGGGTCCTAATCTTGTTTCGTCAAATCCAATCTGAGCTGTTGTTTTCTTTTCTCTGGAGAAACGCAATTTAATGAGCTGGTGTACAACAACAGAAAATATTCTGAAAACAAAACCATCTACAGAGAGCTGGTTAGATCAAAACAGAAGGCGTGAAAACAGCTGTGAGTACATTTTTATGAACATTCAAAACATTTCTTTTGTCACAGTTTGCAGTTTTAAAATAACCACCTGATCATGAAGAATCATCTTTTTTTAGGGTTTCTGGCAGCCTCCACAAAAGAAGAACCCAGTTCAACAAAGAGTGGGAGAATCTCTGAACACTGCAGAAGTAATGCAGATTCAACTGGAGTAAATTGTTGTTTGTAAGCACAAAGATAAATACATGAAATATGTAAAGACAGCTCTCGACCCGAGGCCCATATTTGGTCCGGCTTAGAGGACCCATGTAAAAAAACTCAGGTCCCAATCCTAGTCCATCTTGGAAGCCACATGACTGACTGTCATATTTTACAGGTAAACTCTTCGATAATTCAAGCTTAAAATAGCTGTACAAATTTGAGAAAATTCCTGAGCTTTGTGGAGTGTTCTGTCCTCTGCTTATTCACAATAATTAACTGGGTTGCAATTTCATTCAGCATGCTATGCTGTGAATTATAAAACACAACAGAAAGTTACTGACTCCTCAGATGATGCTGAAAACCCGCTTCAGACAAATGATGGAGAATAACACAAACACGCCATCTCTCTAAGATTGCATAATGTTTTTATTTTTGTATTCGACACCTCGGGATAACCCAAATAACTTAATCCTTTGGCTTTACTATCTCACTCTGGATCGCTTATCACTCTTTTTCATACAGTGTCTACTTTTCTGAGCTTTTATATAATATTTTTTATAATGACTTGGAATGTCAAAGAAAAAAACGTTTCTTGTTTTTTTAAGTTTTTTTTTTAGTAATGTTAGCCAAATTGTGTTTTTTAAACTAATGAACTGTGCAACCCTTTTAGTCTTTTGAGGAATACGTTTTTCTCTTGGTTTTCAAAGATACAAATCTACCCCCCCCCCCCCCCAAAAAAGAAAAAACAAAGAAACGTTTAATTTAAAGTTAGACGCAAATTCAAAACAGAACTTGGGAGCCAAGGTGGAATTAAAATGCCATATCATGTCTGACCTTTGAGTCTGTTTGGGATTATCTTCAGGGCAGCTTTAGATAAAAACATAATTATAATCAGTAACTCCATCTAAGGTGTGACCTTTAATATACGAAGAACCAGCAGAAGAAAGATGACGATTTCTCCCTCCCATTAAAATGCACACTCCCTCTTTCCAAAATGAATCAAAGTGGCTGATGAAATTATAGCCAGAAGACGTAAAGAGTGTCTGTAGACGAGTTAATAAAAGAGGGGCAGTGACAGCCATGAATGAGATACTTCTATTCTCGAGGTAATTCAGAGGGGAAAAAGTCTCATTTGGCAGCAGATGATAGTTTTAGTTGTTTGTTGCACAAATCAAGTTAAAAATCAAACCACCTAGTTATTTTTGACAAATCAAATACACTATTTAGTGATGTTAATTTCGACTTGTGTGTGCATATGACTCGGGGTGGGTGGGCCTGCTGTATGGATTGCCAGTCTAAAGGGCTAACACAAAGACAAATGAGACATACAACCATGCAGATGCATACTCACTCCCTCGGGTCCCTTTTACCAACCACCACGCAGCTTAACGTACACGTTTGTAGACAGTGAACGGAAGCCAGAGTAATCAATAAAAAAGTCCATGTTTAAGGATATAGCATACAAACTCGGCTTGGAAAGGCTTGAACTGGGACACTTCCTGCTGTGAGGAAAACACTGCAGCAGAGTACAACTCCAACTCCTAAGTATTTTGTAAAAATGATATATACATTTAATGATATCTGGAAAACAAGAAATGAACACATTTGCTTTTTGTTCCTAGCTTTATCCTGTTTAAGTTTACTGGAAACTGGGCAAGACGTTTAAAAGGGGACCTTGGTAAGAAACGAACCTATATAGAATGAGCAAAAAAGATCTGCTATTAAAGGAGGACATGGCAAAAAGAGGAAAAACTAAAATGAATGTGCATCTATTGTGAGATGATGTCATACTGTAAAAATAGCAGAGTAGTACAACTGAGGCAAGGTTCAGCTAGCAACCTGGGATAAAAAATTCATGGGGCACTCTTCAGTCTGAAATGCTCGTTCCATAAAGAGATTTGTTTTGTTTTTTGCATGACACCGATGCAGAGAGTAAAAAAGTGTCAGATTAAGGGCAAGAACAAGATGGGTGCAGGGAAAATAAAAAACAGATGTAAGAGAAGAGGCCAGTACAGACCTCAGAAGTCAGGATAAAAGATCCTGAGGAAATCAAGAAAGCAACATTTCACTCTGCTTACAGTGGAAGACGGTGGCATTTTGAATCAGGCTGAGTCTTCTTAATCTGAAATTAAATCCCGAGAGACAGGTCTGTTCCTCAAAAACACAAAGCCTCTACCAAATTTGCAGCAAGGATTATTTTCTCCGAAGCACAA